AAAAAAAAAAAAAAAAAAGTAATATGTGTGTGTGTGATTGAGATTGAGGAGGGATCGGGGCGGAATGTGGGAGCTGTTACTGGGGGAAGGAGCCAAGCGGCGCGGAGCAGCCGGCGGCCCGCAGACACTCCGGGTGCCCGGCCGCGCCGAAATGGGCGCCGGCGGAGGGAAGGGAAGGAAGGGAGGGAAGGAAAGGAGGAAGGGAAGCAGCGGAGCCGGGAGGCGAGGCCAGGCGAGGAGGAGCGGCCCGGCCCGGCCACACAAGCCCAGCGCGGGGGTCGGCGAGGGGGACCCGCTCCCTGACGGCTGCCCCGCCGCGCCCGGCAGTGCGGGAGGGCAGGCGGCCGCGGGCAAAGGGAGGGAAGCGGAGGGGAGGCCGCGCGGGCACGGCAGGCCCCAGGCCGCGGAGCTTTTCTAGGAAAGACATTAAACTGCGCTGCCAACAGAGCTTATGTAAATGCAGGATGTAACATGGTGGTTTTGCCTCTCTCCTCGCAGCCCGTCGCGGTTGGCGATGGCACCTGGCACCGGGATCCAGCCCCGTGCGGGCACCCCGCTGCCGCCTCTGCCCTCTCGTTTCATTTAATGAAAATAATCCTCCGCAGCACTAATTCAGTTCCTACCTGGGTGCTGCTCATTTTTACAACTGAAATGCTGTTTGTCATCTATAGGGCCGCATTGTTTGTTTTTGAAAGCGAGCTTTGTTAATCAAAACCACATTCGTCACCAGGCAGCCCTTTCCATCTTAAAATGGTTTTGCAAGAGCATTTCACACTCTTGGGCGATGGTCCAGCACTCTCATGTCCGGACATTGGCACCCGTGCAGAGTCCCAATGACCACAAACCCTGCACGGATGCGATGGCAACATCCGATGTTATCCCAGCTCGTTCCAAGGCTCTCCACACATCCCAGCCTAGCTCTGGTGCTGCTCAAATAATAGAGCATCCACACCACCACACTCAATTTCAGAGCTTGATTTCACTGCAGCTGGCAGTGAATAAAGAGATGGTCATGAATGTAGTGCCTTTTTTTTTTTTTTTTTTTTTTTTTTTTTTTTTTTTTTTTTTTGTGGATAGAGCATTGCCAGAGAATTATGCTAGTTCTAAGGCAGCATTTCTGGATTTTACCTTCAGTCTAACACCTGGGATATACCATAGACAGATTTTTCCTACCTGAGCATCATCACACAAGCAGATGGAATCCATCAGCTTCACAAAGCCTTGGGTAGATCTCTGGGTGTATGATCCTCTCATAGTACGCATTTTCTTCAGGGTCAAACGCATGCATTTTTCCTTCCTTTATGAAGAAAAATATTTAAATACAGACCAGAGTTATGTAAAGAAACCTAAATCTTTCTAGAAAGCCAGGAAGCATATTTGTAATTGTAAATCACTTGGTGTCCAGCATTTATTTGTGTAATTGTTTTGGTGGCCCAAGTGGGCAACTTTCTCTTCTCACTAATGGTGTGTAGGTTGTCTGCTTTAGGTATGTAAAGAGTCAATAATTTCGAACAGTATATCCAGTCCAGCTCCAAAATTTGCTGAAAGTCAAGAAATTTAAGAGGGGAAGAAAAAGTGGCAAGGCACTCATTAACACGCTCACGCATTATAATCTTAGATCTGTCCATGCTTCTAATGGAGTTTGACCTCTTGATACTCTGATTTATTTCCCAGGTGAAAGAAGATAAGCAGTAACAGTGTGTGGAGGAAGGGGACTGGGAATATGCACATAGCCTAAGGCAAGAGTAAAGGGAACTCTTCTGGGGGACTGGGGTACAGCAGGGGCCTAAAGAAGGATATGTGAGAAGTCCATGAAATGGGAATGAGAGGTGTGACGTTCACAAAGCTTGTGTGGGAAACGGGGGAGGGAGAATCCCTGAAGTGTGTGTTGTTTGGCCCTCAGGAACTACAAACACTGTCTTCCCATCCATCTGCCGAGCAGCGACAACGTGCTGAGCTGAAGTCATCTGGATGAAGGTTTCCTGGTCTGGTGCTCTGCAAATGTTCAGTCGTGGCTCTGGGGTGCCAGGCTCTCTTTCATAACATCATGACGTGCTCAACTGGTCAATTTCCCGGGAAGTTCTGCTCTGCAGGATCTACAAAGTGAATTCTGGAGGATTTGTGCTTTAATAGTCGTCCCCCATCTGTTTTGTTCTGGTTTCCCTTTTTTCACACCCCGCAGGACTGCACAAAGGCCTCTCACTCTCGGTGATGAGCTTTAGCCTTTGCAGTTCTCTTGCCCAAATGTGCAGCTGGATTCAGCGCTACAGGGGACAGTTCCAGAGCGTATGGGAAGGAGGCTCTCTCTCTCAGAGGTTTCCAAGAACGGATGTTGGGTAACACGGGGCAGTTGAGCATGTTGTGGTTTACAGCAGATTGTTCAGTGAGCGAGCTGAGCTCAGGGAGTTGGCTTTGCCTTCTGGGAGAGCCACTTCTAAACAATACCTCTTGTTACACTTCCCAAAGTAGCAAGAAAGATTGGACAAAACCCTAACTTTCAGATGTATAACTGGAGCAGAACTGAGGTCTTGGTTCATCTGTGAGTAAAAGCATGCTTGTGAAGTTCTTCAGTGACAACTGCTCACGGCCGGTGGCTCCATCATCCCAGCGACTGGAAAGTCTTCTCATGCCCATATTTTTAAGACGCATCCTTAAAATAGTTGAAATTACTTGTAACAGGGAGTGCTCGGCCTACCAAGCACATATAAGCAAATATTTGCAATAACTGGCCCAGTGTTTGCACAGCACCAAGCACACTGCCTGGACTCCATAAATAATAATACTTGGCACTTGCAGAGTGGTTTCCATTTTCAAAGCACTTTAGTCATAACCCTTGACACCTATACGGCCTTTTACATCTTTACAAGAATTAATTAATCCTCACAATGCCCTGTGAGGTAGGTATGCACTACAATAATAACAATAACAACAATTAATAATTCATGCATTCTACTCAAAAATCACTTCAGGGATTAAAATGCATCTGTAATACTTGGGGTTTATTAACATTTTCCAGCAAATAATAAAACCCATGCTATTGTGTTAAATCTATATAATATCTCTCCATAAATCTTGTGCAGATTGGAGCGAGACTGAAGGCACAGCGAGGCACCAGCACATCAGCAGGAAGCAGATGGCTGGCTCCAGAAAAGTTCAAGCCCAGTCCACACACAATCCAGGTGCCAGAGCGGAGCTCGCCACGCACGGCAGCGCGTAAATAAATAGCAGCGAAGCAGGAAGGCTCTTTGTTCATTTTTAGCTCGTGTTGGTGCCCGGGCTGGGCGTGCGTGACCCCATCCTGCACAAGCACAGCACCAGGAGGGTGCCGGCGCTCCTGGGTGAGGCAGGGCAGTGACTCAGCACCGCGCCAGACACGGAGCGCAGGGAGGAGCCTGGACAGCACCAGGCAAACACTTTCCATCCGCACTTTCCCTCGTAAAAATTACCATAGTGCCTTTGATATGCAGGCAAGCCCCAGTTAAACCTGATATTTAAACCAGCGGGACTTAAACCCTGTTGATTTAAACAGAAGAACCATCAGGCTCCCACGGGCCCGCTCCGGGCTTGGCAGGGCAGTGGAGGGACCGGGCTCCCCACATGGAGGGATCCCCCACAAAGATGCTTTTGTCACTTTGCATCCCAAAGTGGATTAATGAGAACCACAAGGGCACTTCAATCCTAATGAGCAGGTACACCCAAACCCCAGCAATTCCACCAAGACTTCCTCTGGATCGGAAGCACTGAACAGTTCGGCCTAAGCACTGAACAGCTGGGCCTAAGCACTGAACAGTTCGGCCTAGAGGCCTTCATACTCTTAAGACCTTTTGTTTCCCCCTTAATTTGAGGGAGATATCAACTAAGAAAAAATTCCCAAACCTTTTAAGTTATTTGGCTTTTTGTTGTGCATACTGACAAAGGAAATGGAGGTTCACTGGTTTGAAGATAGTGGTTTTATTCCTTTTGAGGCTGCTGACAATGACTCTTTGCAGGAGAGGACATGCTGGAAAAGGGCTTCTTGCTGAACAGGGAGCATCTTCTGCCTCACCTTAGCATAAATTTATTGGTGATTCGTCATTTATTGATCATATATGGTAAAAAATGTCTAACACTGGTCATCAACATACCAGTACCACTAGTTTCATCAGTTGCTTTAAAGCACACACAGGGATAACCATGAGATCTACAGGGAGACCTGCTGGGACTCCTCCAGGGAGGAGTCAATCCAAAAACAATCATCTCTTTGATACACTTACCAGATCGATTTGGGAGGCTTCTGCTTCCCAGAATAAACAGCAGGAGCAGAGGAACAGCATGACCAGGTGAGCAGCCCCTCATTCACAGGCAGCTGATGAACTGTGTGATCCAAAGCCATGAAGTGGTTCTTTCAGAAGTTTCAGGACATGAGTTGTGCTGCTCAGAGCATGTTCAGCTCTCACTCGGTGTTCAGGCATGTGAATTGTTCAGCACCTCCCTGGCGCCCAGAGCTTCTGCTGGACACGGCTGCTGGCCCCAGGGACAATTTCACATTGCTATTTTCAAAATCTACCACAGGGCCCCAAGAAATAGTACAGATGAACAAGGTCAGGACTGCTGCAGGATGGGGATGCCTACCAAACAGCCTGGCCTCACTGTTTTATTGCTGCTGACCTCCCACCCAGAGGCCCATCATTCCCTGTGAGAGAAACACAGATGTGTGTGTGAACGTCACACCAAGGAGAGCTTCCAGATCAGTGCCAGAGGAACAGATTTTTAAAGGAAAAGAAGAGATGCACACTGCCTGAGCTCCTTCAAGCACCCTGCACCAGATTCC